TGTAACAAAAAAACCAAATTTTATATTAATAGTTTAATAAATGATATGCGTGCAGATCAAATCGTCTCATATAGAAAAAATTACTTATGTATCGGAAAAAATTCAAAGTTAAGTAATGTTAAAATTATATAATAATGGTCAACATTTACATCTGAAAATTTGTCTAATATCTATCATAATATTTTAATAGAAAAAAGCAAAACAGTATTAATTTTAATTATATAGGTGAATATATAAAAATTTGGAATAAATTGAAAAAATTAATTACTTTATAATGAAATATTCGTCGTGTACATTTTATTTACAAAGTTGATTAAATGCATGTGATATCGTCATTTTCAAACATTTAAATAATTACGATAACATCTGGCCGAAATTTTAAATTTTTGATGTCCCCATGTAATATGATATGTTTTATTCTTAGGACAATATTTACCTATATGTCCGTATATGTATGTATATACGTGTTATGAATTAAGCGTGCATTATGATATATTTTTTGAAAAATAATAAAATTATTAAAAGTAATATGCAGGTTTCAAATAAATTTTGTGTTTATCCTATAGGGTAAAACAATTAAAAATGGCCCAAAACAAAGTATTCTAAAAAGGATCGACGCTATAAGGAAGTAAATTACAATATCAGTATTTTTTTCATAAATTTAATTTTAATGTTATAATTATTGTCATCCTGTTCATAATTGAAAAGAATGAACATATTGCTATAATATAAGGAACACTCTTCTATTATAGCATGAAAATTTTTACACAAATTGTGAAAGTTTTACAGAAAATCTTCTTCATTTAAAGTATTTTTTGTACATCATTAAAATTCTATTAAAAAATTTTTATTGAATAAATTTTACTTCAAACTTAAGTAGCTAAATTGTTTAATTTCATTCAAAAATAATTTTTGGTTAAATTTTTAAATTTCTTTTTTCGTAAAATTAAGTCTCTTGGCATATTTTCCAAATGCCAACATATTTTTGCTGAGTTCGTTTGTGTTATACACAGCCCCGGATTTATCATACATGCAAAGTATGCATTTGCAATGGGCGATAAAAAATAGGGGCGCCATTGAAAACTTAAAAAACCCCTAAATTTAAAAAAAAAAAAATTTCACTCAAAAAAAAGGATTCCAAGTTTTTTTTTATACATCAATTTATAGCGAAATTAACTTAATAAAATCTACCTACATGCAAACATAATATTTTGTTCCTACACATATTTTCTATTTGCACCATATAACAAAAAATGTTCATAGAATTAAAATTACTCATACATTTCTTTACTCTACACTACTCTTTCATTCTTATTTTTTATGTATTGTATATGCCTATAAACACAGAATATTATTTCACACAGCTGTATACATTCAAACGTTCATATATATAAGTGAAATCGTCTCATATAATATACATACATATATAGAAGCAATGTACGCAACAAATAAAAATATTCAAAAATACACATGTACACATAATTTATATTGTCTAATATGAATAAGATCAACACTCATGCGTACACATATAATTATCTCATAAAGCAAAATTTTTATTTTGCTGAGATTGCTCCCTATCAAAACTCGCTCGTACACATATAATTATATCACAAAGCAATGTTTTTATTATGCTTAGTGGCTACACTCGTTCGTACACATTATATTTAAATTGTTTCATACATGCAAAATTTTATTTTTGCTTAGTTGGCGCCCACTCACCAAACAAACAAACACATTATTATAATGTATTACTTTTCTGTATACTATTGCATTAGTAAACAACAAGAACAAAACAAAAAAAACACAAATTAAGAAAGAGAATAGAAAGAAATTAGAAAAAGAGAATGAGAGCAATATTCTTAAATGATGGAAAGCATAGCTTGATATTGAGATTGTGTATACTAATATTTTGTTTTTGTTTAACAACAAAAAATTTTGAATGAATTTTAAAATTACATGATCGTTATGAATTTCTACTACTATGTTCTGCTTTCGTTTTTGAAAAAACTGTTATCAATCACAGAATTAAATTTTAATTGATAAAATCTACTACTTATATTGAATTGAAAAAATGTTGTTTAATAATCAAGTGAATGTTAAGAATTTTTATGCTGAATTGATGTAGTGTAAGTCATCCAAAAAATAAGAGTAAAATGAAATGGCGCATAATTTGCTTCACACATTTATCTCCAAAATTAAAACAGTTAAGCAAAACGACATTCTGAAATTTCAAAACCACGAGCCTATAAATACCAGTAAATGCATTTATTTTAATAAAATCTAAAAAATATAATGAACAGTATAAAAATACTGTTCATTATATTTTTTAAAATAAAGTACATGAAAAGCTTAGTTTTTAAGTCACAAATTTTAGAACGAAACTTTGATTTTCCTTAAATTTTTGAATGCAAGTCGAAACTTTTTTTATACGCTGCTTCATTTCTCAGGCGATTTGTGAAATAAAAAGCCAAATTTTACGAATAAAAATAAAAATAATTATAAAAATGAAAATAAAATTACGAATAAAAATAAAAATAATTTTTTACTTTTTTTCATATTCAAATAAGCTGTGAAAAAGTTCATTTGATATAATTTTCATAGAACCTTTTACAATAAGTTTCACTTACGTCAAAAAGTAAATTTTTTGGTTGTTAAAATCAAAAAATCAAGTTTAAGTGATTGATATAAATCTGATCATAACTTCATAAAAAAACGTACAGTTAAATAAATTACCTTGTTTTTGAATTTATAAAACAAAAAATTGAAAGTTTAGTTCCAGACTTTAATTCTATAATTCAGCACAATAAGCTTACAAGAAACTGCTTTATGATGCACAATGTACAATGCCTATTAAATTTTGTTCACAGTAATAAAATAGGTGAAAAGGTTGAAGGGGGGGGGGGGGGCGCACTTTTTAGGAACCGCTTAGGGCGACGAATACATCAGAACCGCGCCTGGTTATACATATACATACATATGCATGTGTATGTATGAATTTGAACCACAATGATATTCGCGACCACAATTTGGTCAATTTTGGGAAAAAAAGAATTTAAAAAAAAAAAACCTTTTAAAATTTGCAAAATAATAAAAAAAATAAAGCGTATACTTCAGGATGATCTGGCTTTTACAATAGAATTTAATCCACATAATATAACAATGAAAATATTAAAATAATTATGGTTATTTTGGCCAACTCTCGGATATTCGTCGTAATTTGATTGCATTTAAAAGGCTTTCGTTCTACTCAGAACAAAATTTGAAAAAATTAAGGTATGAGAGTGGTAGAATATCTGTATGAGCTTAGAGTGGCATACCAATGGATCACACAATTTGAAAAAGCCCATAGATCATCGAAAATTGCCGGTATATGTGTATGGTAGGCCAATGTATTTACTCTTCTTTATTTCTTTGCCTTAAAAATAGAACTAAAATTTTACAATGCCATACCAAAAAATTTTTAATCCTCAAAAGGGGTAAATAAATGCAAAAATTTAATATAGCACATAAAATGAAAACCTCAATAACAGTGCGATAATGAAAAAAAAAATTTTTTTTTTGCAACCCTTCATTCAACAATGCAATTTTTTTGTCTTTGCTTATTTAATTAACGTTTTTGTTGCGTTTGTCATTTTCTCTATGGCTTCCCACACTTATTAGAGGCTTCCGATAAATTGAATTAAAGGATTTCAAAAACAATAATAAACAAAAAAAAAGGATTCATAAACACAACAAAAATATGTTTTGTTTTTAAGGAAAAAATTTTTTGTTGTAAAATAGTGTCGAATTAATAAAGGGTAATAAGCTTAAAACAAAAGGAAAACTTTTTTCTCTTCACCTTTTTTTTATTAACTTTGAAAAAAGTGTAAAAATAAATGTGCACAGGAAAGTGAATGAGCATATAAAAGTGTCAATTGATTCCGTAAATTTTAAGGACTTTGTAATTTTTAAAAATTTGAAGTCCTTTTGTATATAACGTAAATTTTTTTTTCTTAATTAATAGCGAATGAAATTTTTAATATAAAATTGTGGTTTTCAACACTCTTTTGAATGTCAAGTCTATTGTAGGCTATTCTATAGTAGTTGTAGGATGTTTTGATGTGGTAAATTTGCAAAAAAACAAAAAAAAAAACAAAAGTAATAACAATTAAGGAATAGCATTTGGCCTTTATTATTGCGCCGTCAGAAACAAATAATATTTGTTGAACTTGAATCTCTTAATTGCAAATTAAAGCCTTTTGTTATAATTACACTTAAAATTTTGACATAGAGAATAGTTTTTTTTTTGCCATTTTAATTTGATTGAGAAGCAAAGCAAAGGATGTAAGTTGACAAAGTGTCATTATCATTAAATAATGTTTTGAAATTCATAGTGGTTTTTTTTATTCCTGGATAATTTCCTCTAACAAAACACTTTAATTGTGTAATAATGTACACTTTAATTTTCAACAAAATTTTTTTGTTAAAAATTCGTTTTAACAATGGTTTTCGCTAAGTATCTTGCATTCAAATCCAAGAGTTTTGTAATAAGAACTTGTAAAAACGTATGTGTCGGACGTTGTGTTCAATAAAATGTTCTTTTTGTGTTGAAATGCCATGGAAATTGTTAACTGAAATCATTATAGAAAGTTTTTAAATGAAGAGTATGAGATCTAATTGATTATTTCACTTATTTTCACTTCTGGTTAACGCTTAAAAAAATTCAAGTTAATTAATCACTCTTAAATTAAGTAAATTTTCGAAATTAAATTAGTCAAAGGATATTTTGATACTTAAATTCACAAACTTCTTCACAGCACTAAAGGAGAAAATTTATTTTTACTTAATTTTAATTAAATTTAAATCTAGTGATGAGGTTCTTCATAATTTTTTGACATAATCTTAATTGAAATTAAAAGCAACTTTTGGACAAAATTTAAAATTCTTCTAAAATATCCCAAAATATAGAAAAATTAAATTATTTTCCTAAAATATAAATGACTAAGCAAGAATTTTCTTAAAATTTTAAACTAAAAATTCATGATTTCTCATGTAAAATTTCGTCTTGATAATATAAATTTATTTAGAATTTAAATTTTAATAAAAAACATTTTAATATTTATTTTGTTATTCTTCGAAACCGCATCAATAATAATAATAATGATTAAAGTTCACGGTAATTTGAGCTTTTCTGAATATTTTTATTCATGCTTTATGATAACAATTTTCATTCTAGTTTATATTTGTATTGTGTTTAATCATTTAAACTCGGATCTAAAATACAGATATCATAACAAATGTATGTTGGACGACAGCAATCTGAATCATTTTTACACTAAAAATAAAAATTTTTAATTAGAAATTTATAATTAAAAAATTTAGAAATATTAATCAAAATTTACTGGTGTATGTAAAGTTCCACATCCATGTCTAGCTTTAGCATCCTATACGATATGAATTAATTATAATTTTGTTTAAAAGTAAAAGAATTACAATATTTAAGAATAACTTACGATTTTATATCCATTTGAAAATGACAAAGTTATAATTAAAATCAAGAAAAATATATTGAAAAATTTTGCCATTATCTTTTCAAATTAATTAAATAAAGAATATTTTGAAATTGTACTTAATAGCTTGAAGGTTTAATTAAAACTGAGATTAAATTGGAATTTATACAAAGTTCTATTATAAATTTTCAAAAGCTTTTAAGTTTTCTGAGCATTAATTGTTGTCTCATTTTTGCATTTGTTTTGTACTCAATATTTTTTTTTTATGTGAGAACAGTCACTTCATTACAAAACCAAATTTCAGTAATAAATTAAGTACCAAGAATTCATTACATATAATTATGAATAATGGCAATTACAGTAAGGGTCAAATAAATGTGAGCGCATACAAAACTGATTCTTTGCCATAATTTTAAATTGATTGGTGAAACTATAATATTGGCTTGGAAAATAGATTGCCACATGCGCTATTTTTAAAGCTATTTAAACAAGAGTTACAATAAATATTTCTAAATTTTTTAGAAGACTTCTCCGCGTTATAATATATGTGTATCGCCATACTTGATATTGACTTTTACTTCAGGCTGTGTGCGTATTTTTTTGGGTGTCAGGAACATCGAAAGACCTCTTCTTTGTTCTTTTTTGCACATAGACTTTTGCTTTCACAATGAAATTAATAATTTTTTTTTATATTTTTTTTTAAATTAATAATAATTTTCTTAATTTCATTTTTCTTTACAGGTGAGTGAAATATGTCCTTTATACAATTATAAACATGTTTAACTGAAGAACTTATTCATAAATTATTTATATATGTATGTAAGTATTCAAACTATAAGTAAATATTAAAATATGTTAATTTTGAAATTGTAGTAGAAGGTTATCGCTATAAAATTACAATAATTACAATTCTTAAGTTGACATTCTAACTCCAACTCATAAATTGAAATTGTCTTAGTACGGTCGGTTCAGGATCCTTTTTTTTGCAACTTTATAACTTATTCTATATAACACTTTGCCATTAACCACGTGTGAAGATTAACCACGTGGTTAATCTAAACACGAATGTATTCCAAACATTATGTGGTTAGCATCGGTCAACTTAGTTTATTTAACACTAAATTGCCCAAGGAAGGCATTTTGAGTGCTTTTAAATTTCAGTTAGAAATTGCAATGATATAATTTCATAAAATTTTATGACTTTTTGTACATCATAAAAATGCGTTTATTAATAATTGTAGGTTATATCTTACGCTTTCTCATTTCCGGTATATATACATATGTGTTATACCTACATATATTGCTTAAAAGCAATCATTTTGACTGCTAGTGAAATTTAAAATAATCAAATGACTTATTATTGAAATGACTTTTATATGATCAGTTCGGCTCTGTATTGAAATTACATTTATTTCGATGACCATTACATAATGCCATGCAAGTATACGATAAATTATCGATTCGAACGTACTTTAACTAAATAACTTGCAGTGGCTCAGTAATTGTTTTTTGTATTTTTATGCAGTGGTACTTGTTATAGCAAGTTGTTTATTTTATATCATTTGCGCCTTAAAAATTTACTAAGAACTTGTTGTTTAACTATAAATAATATTAAAAATAATTTTTAAACAATTTTTTTTATACATTAGTTATTCTTATACACAATGCAGTCATTTTGATTGCTTTTGGGCAAAATAACAAATTAAATTGGCAAAAATTCCGAAAACGCTACGACCTGCGGGATCTCGATTGTATATTTTGATATCTAACTTAATATATAAAATATAATAAAATTAAGTGAACAAAATTACATACCTTCATTGAATTTTAGAACAAATTTTTTAGAAATATTTTTCTGTGAGTTAGAAAATTGAAACGAAATTTTCGAAAAATATGTATTTTAAAACATACATACATATTTTTTTATATAAATATAGGTTATTCTATTATACGCAAGTATCCACAATATATATAAAACAATAATATTAATCACAGCTGGGGAATGCTACAAAAGTTATTTTTGCCTTATAAGCAAAAATTGTTCTAATTGCGAGACATTTTTTTAAATATATTTACTTACATCCATAAAATTGTAATATGTGCACAAACATATATTTATATATGCATACATACAAATATTTATAATCAAAATTAAGATTTTGTTTTTATTCACGAAACTTTATACGAGTAGCTACATAAAATTAATATTAAAAATTTTATTTTTATGTGATCATTAATTTAGTTCTAAAAATTTGTTGAAAAAATATTGCGTAAATTTTATATTAATATTTTGCTCCACATTTGTTGTGTGCCCGGCTAGCTCAGTCGGTAGAGCATGAGACTCTTAATCTCAGGGTCGTGGGTTCGAGCCCCACGTTGGGCGAGTTAATTTTTTTTATTTAAATATTTTTAAAAATTTTTTTTTTCATAATTAATTTTTTTTTAACAAATTATTTGGGTATTAAATTTAATTATTAAAATTTTTAAATAAATTTAAAATAAAATTTCCCAAAAAAATAAATTCACTCGCAAAATCATACAAACAAAATTTCTTTTTGCAAATATTTTCGTCTGTGGTTTTTCAATATTTTTTGTTTTTATTACTTGTTATTTTTCTTCTTTTCTTTTTGTTTGGTCATAGTACATTTATAACATAACAGAACAGGGACAGCTGTAAAAAAGTCAAGAAAATATTATTTTTCGTTTTTGTTTTTTTTTGTTTTTCGTTAGAAATTATTATTGCAAAATTTACAGGCATTAGTAAATAAAAAAGAAAAGAAAAACAGAAAAAGGAAAAGAGAAAAATTAATTCAGTTTAGTAATAAGAGTGTAGTAGCGGCGTAGTACCATTACCGCTCATTGAAGTATGTAAAAATAAAATTTTGTATAACAAGTTTTTCTTTTTATTTTGCTTAGTTTTTTCGTTTTTATGAGTGTTCTGTTTTTTTCTTTTTTCATGTTCTTTCTCTTTTTAACCATTAGTAAAATTTTAATTGAAACTTTTGGTATTAAAAACGCAATCTTTTACGAGTACCAGTAAAAAAAAATTTGTTTTTTATATATTTTTAGAATCTAAGGATTATAGTAATCGTGTATTATAATTGACATATGCACACACATACATACATACATTATGTTTATGTAGATATAGATGTAAGAGCATAGTACGAATTCGTACGTGAGCTGTAGAATAATAATAATTTTACAAATAAATTTAAATTTCAATAGGTTAAAAGCCATTATTTTTTCTACGATTATGTGGAACAGGAACATTCAAAATAATTTGCAGTTCTCTTAATCTTGAATTTTTACACTGATTGTAGATTATTAATTAATATAATATGAAATTCACGGCTTTGTGATACAAGAGCCTTAATTCTTAAAAATTAGATTAACAAAAATTAAAATTAATCAATTGTTATATGCTTAGTCCCATATTCAATTCGTTTCCATAAAATCTTTTTTGTGTGTGTGTGTATAGTAAATTTATTTTGTAACGCGATTTGTTGTTGTTGCTTTTATAGTACCAAATGGTACTATTTTATGTATACATAACAAGAACTAACAATTTCTATTTTTCCAACTGTTTCTCATTGCAATAGCGTTACTCCTATATATAAAACATGACACGGAAGATTTTATGCAAACAATGTTATATAGTACGAGTACTTAGTACTTTCTTAAGTAAAATTTGCAGTCTCAATACTTTTTCCTCTACTTCAATTTGTAAAAGCAAAAACATTTTAGAAGTGATAAAAATACAAGTGTGTATGCATGTTATATGGCAGTTTACAATCATATTTCTTTTGATATTTTAAATTGTCCGTCGTATATATCCATGTTTAGTTTTTGTAACGGCTTGACGTGCATACATATTTACATAATTTTGATCAAATTGAAAATTAAATCTTCATATTATTCGCAAATTATACTTAACGTGTATGGAAAATACTCCAAAAAATGCCAACTAAGAAGTCATTTTTAATGGTCATTAGAAATCATCAATAATATTATTTAAATATTGAGTTCATTCGCTTCTAAATCAAATAAGTATATGTATTATATATTTTTGTATAAATATTAAAAATAAAAATTCTTAACACTTAAAATGTACATGTTATCTACTCGTGTACATGTGTACTTTCATACATCTATGTTAAGTTTTCTTTTATTTTTCCTTAAGTCCTTTTAAATTGATTTCTTCATCTTATAACATTAATTTTTATAGTTCATTGACTTTTATTCATAGATATAAACATGCATGTATGTACAATGTACCATAATATATTACAATTTAAGTGCAATTCCTTTATACGTGCGCAATATAATAAATAATATAAAATATCCCCACATAACACTAATAATTGGATATGTTTTGATGATTCTTTAATACAAAAAATCCTTCTATATATTCTATATAGATCTTCTTATATAAGCACTTAAGTTTTGTGTGACTCTTAAAATGTCATTAACTCTGTTTTTATATTTATATTTTGTTGTTTTTTTTTTCTTTTTTGCTTTGTCTTATATATTTTATTTGCTCGGTTTTCTATCAACTCTTCTTGGTTATAGAAATGTTTTAAACTGTGTATAAACTAACATAACAAATTGCATCATAATACAACCATGTGATATTTATACATTGAATTTGTTTTTTGTGTTGTTCATAATTTTTAAAGTATGTACAAAGAGAACAACATGGAAAATATTAACCCATCACCATACATACAATTTGCTACCACTATACAAAATCTTAGGTTTTACACTAAAATAAAATTAAATCCTATATGTACTTATATTGGGTGGATTATGGAGTATTAAGAGTAAATTTTAAACATTGTATACCGGTATATTTAGACTGATAACTCAAAATTCATAACCATGTATACAAGACCAGTAGGTAACCTGCATATAAATCTTCTTATTATAACATACTCGTAAAATGTAGGTTTTCAATATGAAAAATAATTTTCTTTTCTCTTTTTTCGATCCGTATCTGTAATTTTCTTTCGTATTTATTTTTAATTTCTTTTCAACTGTATAGCTACTTACTGGCTTTTTTATTTTATATGAGTATGTATGAGTATGTATGCATGTATATATAGTAATTTTTGCACAAAAACTAAATTTATCATAAG